CCCCAAAACCCCAAAACCCCAAAACCCCAAAACCCCAAAACCCCAAAACCCCAAAGTATTTGCCTCTTATTGAAGCGGGGAATTTTTAAAATAATTAATTTTAAAGATGAAAGTAGAAATTCCGCAAGTTCATTGGCAAGGGGATAGAGAATCAATATTCTCAATTGATTTCCTCCCATTCACTAACTTCTTTGTCACCTGTGGGTACGATAACGATGAAAGCATGTTCATTAGATTCTGGCAATGGGAGAAAAACGGTAAGAAAGCCTTAGAATACAAGCTGAAAGTTATATAGACCAGATTTCAGAGGGAGAAAGGATCAAAGAAAACAGTAAGGAGCCTGATAATGTCAATTCAACTCTAACTTGGAAACCAGTCTTTAAGTATGGAGACAGATCTCAAAACGGCGCTCCTAATGTTGTAAAATTCTCCCCACTTGGAAATAAGATGGTAAGTGCGGGAGTGCAAGATATTGCATCCATCTGGGATTATAAACTGAGATATGTTGAAATGGGCAAAACTGAAATGGAACACAGATGGGGTGTCTGCAAAACCCTTAGAGGCCACTTCTCTGAAATATCAGATGTTAGCTGGAGCAGAGATGAAAAATATCTTGCCACGGGATCTATTGACAACACTGCAATCCTCTGGAACGTTGAAAAGGGAGTCCAATTACAAAGATTCGAACAACATAAAAATTATGTCTCTGGAGTCACTATTGATCCTTTGTTCAATTATATTATTACCCAGTCAAACGATAAGACAGTGAAGGTGCATAAGAACACAGAATCAAAGAGCATCAAATTTTATTACAAGAACAATATTTACAAAAGAAAATACCTTATTGATGAGGAAGGAAAACAAGTTTCTCTATCAAAAGAGGAGGAAGATGAAATCTATGATAGCAAGGCCATGCAAGACGAGAAGCAATACAAAGTAGTTAATGAGAGAATGTTTCTTGACGATACTGAATGATTCTCATTTTCAAGAAGAGCAGATTTCTCTCCAGATGGTTCATTCTTTATTTTACCTTGCGGAATTTATCATCCAGTTCCCGGCGAAAAGGAGAAAAAGTATGCATCATATGGATTTATTCGTAACAATATTTCAGAGCCAGCATTTATTTTACCTTCCCCTAGCACCACTCCACTAGTAGTAAGGTTCCATCCAGCTCTATTTGAAAGGAAGGAAGAAGATACCCCATTCATTGATTTGCCTTACATAAGTGTGTTTGCGATTGCCACAATGGAGGACATTTTCATTTACACTACAAGATCTCTCTATCCTTATGCAAGCATCTCTAACATCCATTATGCAGAACTTACTGACTTAGCCTGGACAACAAGAGAGCACCAAGATATTGAAAAATCAGGATCGAAACTAATGGCTTGCAGCAGAGATGGATTCATCACCTTAGTAGACTTTGATGAAGGAGAGCTTGGCACCCAACTGACCCAAACACAACTGCCAGAGAATATTTCCTCTCTTTTTGATTATTTAACAATTGATTCTCTCACTTCAGAGCCTGTTGGGGAAACTGAAGTTAAAGAAGTGATTATTCCAAAATTCAAAAGCAGAAAATCAAAACCACAAGTCACAGAAGCTATTCCCGATGCTAAACACCCTGAAGAAATGAAGATCGAGACCAATCCCAAGTAATTTCTGCCATAAGTTCAATTAAAATTTTCTTCCAGGGGTTTTGGGGTTTTGGGGTTTTGGGG